CAGGCCACGGCAACCTATGAAGGCGTGTCCAGCGCGCCGGTCGAGGTCCTCGTCACCGACACTCCCGATTACTACGCGGTGGATGTCGATAACCCCACAGGTCACGTCAACGTCGGCGGCGCGCTCACCATTCAGGCGAGCTTCAAGAGCTACGCCACGGGCGACAAGCCTGGCTTCGGCGTCCCCTATCAGCCAGAACAGGTCGAGCTGGTCGAGGGCGAGCAAGTCCTCGGCACCATCACGCCAGGTTACGGGCTCGCTGTGGGCGAGGTCGATCTTTCGGGGTTGAGCGATGGCGCGCATGATCTGAGGTTGCGCGCGACCATTCAAGGAAACACCGTACTCAGCCCCGCGTTCACCGTCTCCAAGCTTCAGCCGGTGATGGATTACTGGCAGGACTTCGCGCCAAACGAGACACTTCGAGGAGAAAACGCCCGTTTGTTCGAGACCGCCGATGGGTTGATGTTGCTCGCACACACCTGCGCTCGAGAGTGCTCGGTCAAAGCCTATCGCTACAATGACTCCAACGACCGTTGGGAAGAAATCCGCTTTAGCCGCGAATATCACCGCAACCGAGATGGAGCTGTGGAGACCAGCGTCAATCAGACCGCCTCACTGGATCTGCCAGTGTATGTCGGCTGGGGCTGGCCATCTGCGGACGCGCGCCAGATCCACACGCCAAACGCGCTCGCCGCGCGACCGATCGTTGCCTTTAGCAACAGGGACGCCTTCCGCTCCTTTAATGATGAAGCAGTCCCTGACCACTACTGGTTTGACTGTCACGTCGCGCGCTGGAATGACTCGGCGGGACAGGATGGAAACGGAGGTTGGGATCTGCTCTCGAACGAAGATCCTGACTACCTCTACATGCTCCCTCACCCGAGCACTTTCCCCGAGAACAAGCAGCGCCATCCTCAGGGTGTCAACGCAGTACGTCTCGAGGATTGCCGTCACCCACGCGTCGCGCTCGGCGCCAATGATACCCCGATCATCGCGCACATCAGCAGCGTGGTTCCTGGCACAGAGCACTCCGTCGAGGTTCGTCAGTGGGATGGCAATAACTGGACTGACCTGGCTGACGCGCTCGACATCACTGGATTTGATCCTGTGTTGCACGCCTTCGTGTTGGATACCAACAGCCGCCCTGTCATCTCCGTCGATGGTGGCCCGAACAACACGCCGACCATCTGGCAGCTCGGCATGAGCGGCAGCTGGTCGCAAATCGGCGCCGACGAGACCGAGCGCGCGATCACCTCGTTGCGACCGCTGCAAGGGGGCGGATTGCTCGGTGGCGGTATCGCCAACGGGGACGCGTCGGTCTACCTGAGCTCTGGCAACACGTGGCTCGCGCTCGGCGACATCCTCGATGTCTCGCCGTGGGCGCAGGTCTTCGAGCTGGAAGTGTTGGAAGCGGGCGGCGAATTTTTCGCCGCCTGGGTCGAAGGCCCCGCACAGGGCAACCGCGATATATTCGTGGCGCGATGGCTGGCAGATAGCGCGCGTTGGGAGCTGCTCGGTGGAGGTCCTGTCGATCTGCAGATCGACGAGGACGCGAGCAACCTCCAGATCGCGCTCGATGCGCAAGGGCACCTGCTGGTGCGCTACACCGTGACCGATATCGAAGGGCTCGCGTTCGGCGAGCATCAACAGTCTTCTTATTATCAACGGGTGCGCCGAAGCAGCATGCCCCTCGTGACATCACCTTGAGCGAGAAGAGAGTACGAGATGAAGAACTCAAAACATCGTTTCGACCGGCGCACGTTCCTCAAGGCCTGCGGCCTTGGCGCGGGCGCCTTCTTCCTCCCCTCCCTCGCGCGAGGTGACAGCAACGCGCTCCAACCTCCTCGCCGCATCATCTTCATGATGTCCGAGCTCGGGTGGAACCCCTTCGAGTTCCGCATGAAGCCTCCCGGCGCGCCCGACGAGGTCTTGCTGCGAAGCGCCTATCACCCGAGTTACAAGAATCAGCCCGATCCGCTGACCTGGGAGCTCGACCTCAAGCGCACCCCGCGCGAGGACTTTAGCTACGCGCTCGAGCCGCTCTACGACCTGCGCGAACACGCGCTCGTGCTCGATGGGTTGGGGATGCTCAGCATCGGCCTCGATGGTCTGGGAGATGCGCACGCCAAGGGATGGAACCACGCATTGAGCGGTTACCCCGCCGATGGCTTTATCACTGGCCAGCGCGCCATGGGCGGACGACCCAGCCTCGATATGCAGATCGCGAAGCATCTGCGCGCGCAGAACCCGAACCTGACCGACCTGACCGCGCTGCACTTCTACATCAACCACGCCTGGTGGGGCGGCGGCGTGGATACCTTCCACCACTTCTTCTATGACGAAGGCCCCAGCGGCGAGATCGTGAAGGTCCCGACCGAATCCAACCCCAAAGCGGTCTTCGACAAGTTGTTCCCTGGCGGGATGTTCGGTGGAGAATCACTCGACTCCGTGGCGGAGAGCAAGATCCTCGAGGAGCTCGAGGCTGGTTATAGCGAGATGCGCCCCAACCTCTCGACGCGGGACAAGCAAAAGCTCGATCTGCACCGGCGGACCGTGTCCGATATCAAGAACCGCATCGACGCGTTGCGCAACCTCGAGTGTACGGTCCCCGCGGAACCCACGAACCCACGTGATCTTCCCGACTCGGATGCCTTCGAGCAGAACCTCGAGGCGTTCTTCGAGATGACCACCGTGGCGCTCTCCTGCGGGTTGACGCGTGTGGTGTCGATGCAACTGCCGAACTCGAGCGGCGTGCGCTCGAGCTTCTATGGCGCGGGCGATTACGACTTCCACGAGTGGTACTCGCACGGCACCAACCCGCCCAAGCGCTGGCGCGGCGTGGAGAATGCCAACGTCACCGAGGAGGAGCACAACAAGTTCCTCGATGCCTCTCCTGTCATCGCCAACAAGAACCGCTTCCACGTCGAGCTCGCCGCGCGCCTGGCGCGCAAGCTCCAGCAGGTGCCCGATGGCGAAGGCACGCTGCTCGACTCGACGTTGATTGTCCTGATGGACGAGATCTCGCACGGGAGCCACGGCCACGATCAGTGGCCTGTGGTCATGCTCGGAGGCTTCGGGGGCGCGTTCCGCACGGGTCGCTACATCCGCTTCCCGCGCACCAATCCATCACCATCCTTCAACAGCTCGGGCTCCTACGCAGGCGTACCCCACAACCACCTCCTCGTCTCCATCGCGCAGGCCATGGGGATGCCCATCAACGATATGGGCGTCCAATCCGTCTACGCGCGGCGTGGAGGTTACGCGGGCCAAAACATCAGCCTCACTGGGCCTCTCCAACAGCTCTACTGAGCGTCGAGGATGATACAAAAACAGCGAGGGCCAATGACGATCGTCATTGGCCCTCGCTGTTTTTGGAGCGCAGCCTCTAGACCTGCCCGAGGAGCGCTTTCCTGGTCGCGGTCAGCGATGTGCTGACGTGCTCCATGAGCGCTCTGACGCGAGCATTTCCCCTCATGTCCTGGTGAGTTAATACCCAGAGATGTTCATCCGAAATCTCTGGCTTTGTCAAACGCTCCAACGTCGGCTCTCGGTCTCCGACCACGCAGGGCAACACGGTCGCGCCCACGCCGCGGCGCAACGCCTCGACAAGCAACAGGTAGGTGTTTGTCCAGAGGACGTAGTCGCCTCCACCGACGCGTTGGCGAAACCGCTCGGCCATCGAGACCTCGATCTCGAGTGGGTCCCAGCCGACCCAGGGGACTTCATCGAGCGGGACCTCCTCGAAACATGGGGCGCCATAGATCGCGAAGCCCAGCTGTGAGATGCGCCGACCAAAGAGGTACTCCTCGGGGTTGGCGATAAACCGCAACGCGAGATCTGTCTCGCGGCGCGCGAGGCTAAAGATCGAGTTGGACGCCTGGATCTGGAGATCGATGCGCGGGTGCTCTCTGGCAAACGTCCACAGGTTATCGAACAGCGCATACGCCAGGAGCTCGGGCGCGGTGATTCTCAATGAACCCGAGAGCTCGGTCTCCTGACCGATGGCGAGCCGCTCGAGGTCAAAGAGCGTCTTCTCCATCTCTCCAGCAGCTTGCACCATCGCCTCGCCGAGCGCGGTGAACACGACCCCACCGCGAAACTGTTCGAAGAGCGCGCCGCTGCTGCGATCCTGCATCGATCGCAATCGCCGCGAGACCGTCGTTTGATCCACGCCGAGCGTTGCGGCAGCGGCGGTCAAGGTCTTCTCGCGCGCCACCGCGAGTAGGAAACGATAGTCATCCCAATCCTGTCCCGACATCGATGCTTGCTCCGCGTAAATGGTGGCGCGTCGTCGTTTTTTCAGACGCATCGCCCCACCGAGAGACGTGATTACCAGTATGTTTTCCAAGTTAAACTGCACATAAGCAGGAGCAAACCGCATTTTTTCGATGCAGTTCTGCGCCAACGCAGGTCAGAACCTCACCCGAGCGTGACCGCATCTTATCCGGCGTGAAACCGAGTTCGCGACGGAGTGACAATGAGCGAAGAGATCAAATGGTGCGCGACGTGCGGTCGCAAGATCACGTGGCGCAAGAAGTGGGAGCGTGACTGGGAGCACATTCGCTACTGCTCGAAGCGATGCAGAGGCAACAAACCGGGAGAGGCCGAGCGCGCGCTCGAAGCGAACATCGAGGATGCGCTGGGTCGCGCCTGGATCGACGCCGATACCTTGCAACAACAGCTCGGCATCTCGGACAACGCGCTCGAGCGCGAGCGGTTCCGCGAGGCGCTCCGCAGGTTATGGGTCGAGGGGAGAGTCGAACTCGGTGAACGGCGAAGACCTGTGCGGGACCCCTCGACGCTCAAGGGCGCGTTCGATGTCAGGCTTGGCTGATTCTATCCAGATCATCCAGCGGTAAGAGGGTGTTGAAGAGATGGGGTGATGCACACGCTCCCCTTCTCGACCTGCGGTCTCGGTTGGACCTCCACGTTGATGTGTACAGTGAGTTTTGCGAGCGCTCCCCTTCTCACGCTTCGCGTTCGGTCGGCGCGGCTCGACGCCGCGACCCCCACACTCGTGGGGGTCTGTTCTATAGCTATCGATTCAAGCTTTTGTTTTGCAACGTGACCCTCATGAACCACATTGCTCGAATCGAAGCTCCAAAACGCAAAACACAAGCCTGAAACCGGAGCGCGAGAGTAAGCCCCCGCGAGCGGGGGCTGCGTCGTTCAGACGTGGGGGCCCGGCCGAACGCGAAGCGTGAGAAGGGGAGCGCATGCATACCCCACTGCTTCTCTCGAAGCTCCCTCACTGCAATATATTCTACGCCCTCATAAGCACAGATCCCTCGGTTTTTGGAGCCCGAGCAGCAAAAACTGGAGGTTTCACGCACATATGGTTAGCCTGTATGGCGAGGATGCTGCAGCATCCTCGCCATACAGGCTAACCATACTCTCGAGGATCGTTTCTTGGACCCCCACCTCGCCATACACGTGATCATCGACATGATCCCGCACTGGTTCGAAGCCAAGGAGGGCGCGCTCACTGTGCCACTGCCCTTCTCGCCAGCGTTGGCGAACTGTTTCTCTCACGTGCCGCTCTCGGACATGATGACGAGGTTTCTGGAGGAGGTCGGCGAGAGCTTGCCAGAGCTTGCCAAAAGGTGTGCGGGGTTCTCAGAATCGCTCTCGATCGAGCTGCTCCAGGATCACTACGCGCTCGAGTGGTTGGAGCTGCACGCGCCGCGCATCCACTGGAGGCGCATCCTCGACTACGATCAGGAAGCCTCGCGCCGTACCTATGAGAACGAACCGATCCGTTTTCATATGCTCATCTCGAGCGGATGCGGCAAATCCGATCTTCTGGCGCAAAAGACCAACGGCATCGATCCGCTCACCAACGCTCCGAATACGTTGCTGCGCATCGACGAGACGCTGCGTTTTATGGGCTACGAGTCTGTCACGTTCAGCATGACGGACGAGAGCGTGCCGGGGTGGTGCCCGAACTCGCTGGCGCCATATCGCGCGGTGATGTTGGAGGACGAGTGGTCTGTGCACCGCACACCCACAGGAGACTTCGTGGTGATGAACGGCGGCGCGATCATCGCCGCCAAGCACGAGAATCGCTGGAAGCTCTACGACACGCCGTCCTTGCAAGGCATGTTCACGGCGCTTCTTGGCAGCGAGCGGCTCGGATTGCGCACGATGGAGCTCGCGCTCGATATCAGCTTCCGCAGGCGCGGCGCGTTGCTGATTTATGATCCTGACGACAAGCTCTCGGCGCACGTGACCAATCCGCGCAGTTACTTCGTGCGCGACGATCAAACGACCTCCATTCACGACGCGCTCACGCCTTCGCTGCGGCCCCTTTCGCTGGCATCGCCGGACTATTCGCGCGCCAACAACGACCTGCTCGCTGGCGCCGCGAGCCTGGATGGCGCGCTCCTCTACGATGACACGCATATCCTGGCCATCGGGGCGATGGTTCGCACGCATGAGGACGTCAAAGCGCAGCTCGGTGCCCGAACGCTCGCGGCCATCTCGGCGCATCGGCACGGCGCGACCCCCATCAAGGTAAGCTCGGACGGGGACATCACGATCTATTTCACGCCCGGCGAAGATCAAAACATCGAAGCCCGCATCGAGCTGCTCTAGCGGCGTCGACAGCCTCGCTCCATCCTGGACGCGAGCGTTGTTCGAGCGCGCCGCTTATTTTTGCATGCATGCCGATCCATCCTGGGCTTGACCTGGAAGCTGGCTGGTTGGATGCTCTCCTGGTTGTGTGAAACCGGATCGAAGTCGATCCAAGCATTGTGTGAATGTCAGGAGGACACATGCAACTCAAGGGCGCGAAAGTCTTGCTCACGGGCACCTTCAAAGGTCAAAAGCTCGAAGCACTCGAAGAACAACTCGCTGGCCAGGGCGCCAAGGTCGTCAAGAAGGTCTCGATGGAGGTCGAAGCGGTGTTTGCCGGCGATGAACCTGGCAAGGAGTTCGATCAGGCGCGCGAGCTCGGCATCCGGGTCTACTCGTCAGGCGACCTCTCGGCGCTGCTCTCGGGCGAGCAACCCGTCGCCGAGAAGGCGGTCGTGGATGACAATATGTACGATGGCTACATGATGGACGCGTCCATGGAAGGTGGCCCGGCGGATTACGTCGTCTACGAGGAGGCCTACGCCATGCCTCCAGAGGATGGTGGGAAACCTGCCAAGTCACCCGGCGCTCCCATGGCATCGTCTGCGTCGAAGGGTTCTCGAAAGAACAACTCCTCGCAGCAGTCCTCCTCGAAACCCGCGAAGTCGAGCGGCGGCGGTCAGGAGAAGAAATTCGACAAGGGAGACCGCGTCAAGATCGTCAGCGGGCTCGAGGGCGTGGGCGTCGTCGGCGAGATCTTCTGGTGGGGTGAGTCGAAGTTTGGCGAGGGGATGCGCGCTGGCGTCTCTGGTCCAGGAGATACGAGCTACTGGGTGGACGAGGAGCACCTCGGCTGGCCAGACGAAGAGATCGATGACGAGGTGATCGAAGCCGCCAAGGTCGCCTCACAGTTCAAGCGAGGCGACCACGTTCGCGTCGTCTCCGGCAAGGATGCTGGCGCAGAAGGGACCATCTTCTGGTGGGGTGAGTCGAAGTTTGGAGACGGTATGCGCGCAGGGATCGAGGTCTCGGGAGGAGACAAGGTCTGGGCCGCCGCCAGCGAACTCGAGCACTCTGATGGCGGCGGCGCGAGCGACGACCTCGAACCGATCGCCGATGATGATATCCCCTTCTAGAAAAACGCCAAAAGCCATTGTAAAACAATGGCTTTTGGCACATCAAACCGCGCGATGCTCGAGCAGCATCCAGGCCATCCAGAAGAGCAACACACCGCGGCCACTCCAGGCCAACGTCCTGATCCAATTCGTCGCGACCAGCTTTTGGTGGGCGTCCTCGACAAACCCCATCGAGAGCTGGTCGTGCATCGGCACAGACGCGAACACCGTGGTCAACCACGCCACCCCGATCAACCCCAGCCCGAGCAGGATCGCCCAGCGAGGAATCGGCGCGATGGGGTTCGCCAACAGGTAAACCGCGCCGCCCAGTTCGACGAGCATGGCCGGTCCGACGATGTACGTGATCAGGCGGACGTGATCGCGGTGGTAGGCGATAAACTCGCCAGGACCGACCGAGGCGAACAGCGGATAATGCACCAGCTGCACGATCCAGATCACTCCGATCATGATGCCCGTGGCGAGCAGTTGCGCCAGAAAGACTGCGGTAGACATGAAAACGCCCTCTCGGGTGTGGTTTGACTTCATGTCTTCGATGCCCCCTCGCCCAAAGAGGGTGCGAGGTCTCCATCACTCAGCCTCGGGGCAACTTCCCCGCGAGCA